TATCATACTTTGAAGAATTGAATCTGCACAGGGCCCCAGAAAAGGGATGCACCTAATTAAGTTGCTTATCTGTTTTAATTCTTTCTTTCGGGTTGAAAAGGTCAAACTTTCCAAAGCAATTTTTATCTTCCTCTTGAAAATTCCGAGAGGACAAATAAATACTGAGTTGAAAAGGAAAATATTTATTCTTGTCTGTTTTCCAATTATTCAGCCAGTGGGATGGTGGGCAACTCTGCATGCCACCTATACGGAAAAGTCTTCAAAACTTTGATTTTAATTTACTTTATACTAATTATTTAATAAATCCTTAGAATTTGCAAGTTGTCATTGAACTCAGAGACAATCCTTGTGCTTGTTGTAATTTTTAAAATAGCGGCTAAATTATTGTGAAATATTATTTTCATTAAAAATGATCACATGAGGAAAAAAAAAAAAAACATCTTTCCCTTTGGAAATTCATGTTGTGTCATGCGGAGGCCAAAGAGCTTAATTCAATATTGACGTAATATCAGCCACCGACAGAATTGCCTTTGCTCACCTCAATATTTCAGACAGAAAAAAAGACGAGAGATATCTTGTTTTTGTTTGCTGGAATAAATTCGCAACAATACTATAATGTTATTCTTCTGGAGCTGATAGTTTTTAGTCATTATTAATTAGTAATTACTGGAGAAATATAATCTGATAAATAGATTCTGGTTCTGATTCACTTGAGCAGCCATATCTACCTCATGAGACACCAGCTGGGCTAAGAGTACTGAGAGAGAAGGAACTGCGGAATCTAAGAGGTGACGGCTCAGGTGTTAGGAAATTATCAGACAGAATATATGACTTTGCCCCCTACAATGATCTGGGCAATCCAGACAAAGGCTCGGACCTCGCTAGACCAATTCTTGGAGGCTCAGAAAAATATCCTTACCCAAGACGATGTCGTACTGGCCGCCTCCCTACAGAGACAAGTACGTAATCATCGTGTTTTGATTAATCAATCTTTAAAATTGTTAGAATGTTCAAGTTTGAGTAAACTCGGCTTCGTCTGGTGCAGATCTGAATGCAGAGAGCCGTGTGGAGAAGCCGCTTCCAATGTACGTTCCAAGAGATGAGCGATTTGAGGAGTCAAAGCAGAACACATTCACAATCAAGAGGTTGAAGGCAGTGCTTCATAACTTGATTCCTGGGCTCAAGGCCAGCCTCTCTGCAAATAACAAAGACTTCAATGAATTCTCAGACGTTGATGGATTGTACAGTGAGGGTCTTCTCATCAAACTGGGTTTGCAAGATGAAGTTCTCAAGAAAATCCCTTTGGTCAGAAAGATCCATGAATCCAGTCAGGGACTTCTTAAGTACGACACTCCCAAGATTATTTCCAGTGAGTACCACCACTTTCCTCTCTGTTATTCCTACCCCATCATGGAATATTTTTCAATTTCTGTCCAAATCTAGCAAATAGTAAAGCTTGTTTTATAATTAGAACTCTTTTTGTTTTGGTTAACGTGCCCATTTGTTAGTGGGGACTGTGGGGTCAATAAAAGATTGGATCTTTAACGCACTTGACGTGGCCTGAAAAAGATGACTGATGGATGCATCACGAGTGAACATGTAACTTTTATTATTAATAATATATCATCAAGCGCAGCCAATGTACAAAATAGCTAACTTTTATTGTTTCACATCTATCAAGGGGAAAAAAAAATGTTTCACATGTGAATGTTGAGTGAAAAGAGTGTTTTGTGGTGTGGATATAATAATGACTAATGAGCCAAAAGTGATCCACTTTCTTAGCGGATTAAAGTAATGTTTTTTCTCCGTATGCTAAACGTGCAGAGGACAAGTTTGCGTGGCTGCGAGATGACGAATTTGCCCGTCAAGCAATTGCAGGAATCAACCCTGTGAACATTGAGAAGCTCAAGGTTTTCCCACCCGTCAGCAAGCTTGACCCTCAAGTTTATGGCCCTCAAGAGTCTGCCCTCAGAGAGGAACACATTTTGGGTCATCTCAATGGCATGACTGTTCAACAGGTATCCTCGTCTTTCACTTCAAAACTCTGTTTCCTTCTTCTTCATAGATCCAATTATGTGACAATTACTGAAATTTCCTGAGTGGGAACTTTGCAGGCAATAGATGAAGATAAGCTGTTCATCATAGACTATCACGATATCTACCTTCCGTTTCTTGATGGGATCAATGCCCTTGATGGTAGAAAATCCTACGCTACCCGAACCATCTTCTTCTTGACTCCCATGGGCACTCTCAAGCCCATTGCTATTGAGCTCAGTCTCCCGCCGGCCGGACCCAGTTCCCGGTCAAAACGCGTAGTCACACCGCCGGTTGACGCCACCACCACCTGGATGTGGCAGCTTGCTAAGGCCCACGTCTGTTCCAATGACGCCGGCGTGCATCAACTTGTTAACCATTGGTAAGCAAAGCCTGAAAGCTCTGTTCTTTCTACAACAACTCCTTCACATGCTGATAATTTTGACCTTGAGAATTAACCTGGGGATGGTAAATTTTGTATAGGCTACGGACACATGCGGTCATGGAGCCGTTTATATTGGCAGCACACAGGCAATTAAGCGCGATGCATCCTATATTCAAGCTATTGGATCCTCACATGAGATACACACTAGAGATCAATGCTTTGGCTCGTCAAAGTTTGATCAACGCAGATGGAATTATCGAGTCTTGCTTCACGCCTGGACGCTACTGCATGGAAATCAGTTCTGCTGCTTACAAAAACCTATGGCGCTTTGACATGGAGAGCCTCCCTGCTGATCTCATCCGCAGGTAAATCATAATATATACTTCTTGTATCAGACATAAAACATATTTTGTATATTCTGAGTAGTAATTAAAAGCACTCTGGTGTTGTTGCCTGATTGCAGGGGAATGGCAGTTCCTGATCCAACTCAACCTCATGGTCTGAGGCTGCTCATAGAAGACTACCCTTATGCTGCTGATGGGCTGATGATCTGGTCAGCCATACAAAACTGGGTTCGCACCTATGTGAACCATTATTACCCTGACCCTAACCTTGTGGCTCAGGACAAGGAGCTTCAAGCTTGGTACTTTGAGTCCATCAACGTGGGTCATGCTGACCTCAAGGACGAACCTTGGTGGCCACCATTGAACACAGGTGACGACCTCGTCTCTATCCTCACAACCTTGATTTGGAACGCTTCTGCACAGCACGCTGCTCTTAACTTTGGGCAGTACCCTTATGGAGGGTACGTGCCCAATCGGCCTCCGATGATGAGAAGACTAATCCCGGAAGAGAGTGACCCAGAATATGCCAGTTTCCTAGCAGACCCTCAGAAATACTTCCTTAATGCCATATCTAGCCTGTTGCAAGCTTCCAAATTTATGGCTGTGGTTGATACTCTGTCCACCCACTCACCGGACGAGGAGTACCTCGGTGAGCGGCAGCAACCGTCAATCTGGACCGGTGATGCCGAGATGGTGGAGGCTTTCTACGGTTTCTCAGCCAAGATGATGCAGATAGATAAGGAGATTGACAAGAGGAACTGTGACAGGACAATGAGGAACCGATGTGGTGCCGGAGTGTTGCCTTATGAGCTGCTCGCTCCTAACTCAGAACCTGGCGTTACATGTAGAGGTGTTCCAAATAGTGTGTCCACATGAGAACCAAAAAAACAATCAAATAAGAACCACAATTTAAATATTGTTCTGAAAATAGGAGTGTAGTTTTGAGAGACATTTTCATGGATGGTTCATTAATTACTGCTATATGTATACCAATGATGATTGTGGTACACATGACGCTGTTCATTTTGTACCTAAGAAGAGGTAGATATCTAGATAGGGTTGTATAAGTTGTATATGTTTATAGAGGTCAACGGTATTGGATGTGTAACTGTGTACAATCGTCAACCATTTTTGTTTTCGATTGTTGTTCACTGAATGCGATGTATTCTCCCAAAACTGTCCTGGGCACTGTCAAGTGAATTTAGGGAAGATTAAGGATTTAGGGGCGGGACCAATAGACCTTCCTTTTTGAAGTTTTATGGATTCTCTGCTACGGAATCATCTTCTCGATGGGAATACTAAGAGTGGAACTGGGTTGGGCCTCATTTGTCAATATTGTATTTCGTGTTAGGTCAATCACTTTTGGATTTTCGATCGGCCTGAATGGAGCTTGGGCTGATCGTTTAGTGATGACTATGAAGGGCCGAAAGAGCCCATGTTACTCAAACTCAGCTTACGTTTTGATCGGTGATCTCCTCTCCTCCACGACCCATTCTTCATTAATTCTTCCAACCCTCAGCCGTGAAATTCTGAGAATTACATATATGCTTAAAACATGCTTGGTGTGAATCTTATATACGAGTCTCTACAACCCCAATTTATTTATGTGTTTTTTAGTTTGTTCCTAGGTTCCTTTTCCATTGTCTTCTTCACGGGCCACATTGATTAAACACAAAGGAGAGATAACTTGTATTGAAACAAAAAAGTATTTACAGGATCAAATAAAGAATATAATGAAGCTGGAGAGAGTGGGGATATATCATGTAAAAAGTGCAGAATTAATGGAGCATACAAGTTGAAGTTGCTTTGGGCTTATGAATGGATCCCACTCCAAGGCCACTATATTAGCAGGCACATGCGTGTCAGCTTTTGGCTTCCCTGGTGGGACTACCTCGGTTTTTGAAACAGATACTCCTATATTTCTTTTTTCTTCCTCCCTTTAGTTTTGTTTCTCGATCAAATTTCTACAAAAATATGTGTCAGTTTATTCAACTTTTCATTCATTTAATATCTTACACATTAATTCAAATATGACCATTCGTTTGAAAAAATCTCGTGTGTGTGTCTCTTTCAAACCATCTGCTTAACCAATGTGTTGGGGCTTTCTCCATAACCACGCATATGCAGAGAGGCCCACGACCTGCTACTGCCTAATAATCACGTTCACATCGGACAAAATAATATAAAATGGCCACTGTTTATTACTGTATCTGCCAATTATGGCCATGCTTCAATTTATCACCATTTCCTTGAATGGTAACTTGCTTTTGTTATTTAAAAAGAAGCCCTCTCTTCCTTCTCACTCTCTTTGTTCCCAAACATGGCGCAACCGAGTTTCTTTGTTGGGGTTATAGGTTTCAAAATAGCATTTTCTTTCTCCTATCAAGCACTTTCCTACACACACACACACACACACACACACACACATATGTGCCTAATTTTTATGACCATATATACTTACTCATCTCCTGTTTTGGTTGCAGGAAATATCATCTCAGTTCTCATGTTTCTTTCTCCGGTGTAAGGCTCCTACTTCCTGCTTCTGCATACAATCTAATAATGATCTGTTCATATCCAGTGTAGTTGGAATCCAATAATTAAGTTGAGCAAAATTAATGAAATGCACTGCCAAATGATTTAATTGTAAATTGCAGGCCGACATTCTGGAGAATAATAAAGCATGGATCTACCGAAGAGTTTGAAAGTCTGCCTTACATCTGCACATTGCTGAACTCGTCCTTGTGGACTTACTATGGAGTGATGAAGACCGGAGAATACCTTGTGGCCACCGTCAACGGCTTCGGGGTTGTGGTGGAAACCGCCTACATAATTGTATTTCTTATATATGCTCCGATCAAGATGAGAGTAAGCCATTGAAATCTACCATTATTGATCATATATTTATATCAAATTAGGGGGTAAAGAATTAATTAATGAGATTAGCACAGGCCAAAACTGGGATTCTGGTTGGACTCTTAGATGTGGGATTCTTAGGAGTGGCCATAGTATTTACTCAGATAGCGTTGCACGGAGAAGTTCGGATTGATGTCGTCGGAATTATGGGTGCTGCTTTAAATATTCTCATGTACGGCTCTCCTCTAGCTGCCCTGGTATGTCTACAGTAACCATATGATCTCTTATCTTCAATCTTCCTTCCTTCTTCCAAACACCACACGTTTCTCTTCTAACTTTCAACTTCATCAAGATACGTGCATATAAGATTAATTACCTTTATTAAGTCTTATTAATGATTTTTGCATAATGCTATACAATCGCCTGATCATGATCACAGAGAAAACATCATGGTGGTTGCAAAGTAAATGCTAAGAAAATGATTGATTGCGTGAGATATTTTTGATGTGGCAAGGTGCAAGCTAAGCAAGCATATGGATATCACACATTCACAATGGCTAAGAGGTCCACTTTAATTTGTTTGCACAAATTGGCACTGGGATACATAAGATTTGTGGCCAAGAAGGAATCGTAATATGCATAATTGAAGGGTTAATGACGATATCCAGATATAAGTGGAGGAGATATAGTGGGTCGTTTTTGCTTCGTTGTTATGCACAATTAATTCCACCACGTGCTTGAAAAACCTTTTGTCCACTTCTTCATGTCATATATATTCGCCCCTAATTTTTCATAATTCCTATATTGTGTGGGGCTTTTCACATTATATGACTTATTTACCTGTTTTTGTCATTATTTTGTAATTATTATCAGTGTTTGATATTTACAGCTGAAATAATTATGAATTAATGCGCAGAGATTAGTGGTGACGACGAAAAGCGTGGAATATATGCCATTCTTACTTTCACTGTGCATGTTTTTAAACGGTGGCGTTTGGTTGTTTTATGCCATCCTTGAAAGCGATTGGATCTTGGGGGTAAGTAATAGTAGTATGTTAATTAAGTTGATGAATTGCTTTCAATAGGAGGATACCTATACTTATTCCAAAAAAAAAAATTGATCGATTGGGTATATATTACCTTCGTTTCTTAATATAAGAGTTAGTTTGACCTTTAATTTGGTTTTAAGACTTTAATCCATTTTCTTTTTTTTATATTTATCTTTTTTTTCAAAGTAGTTCTATAGTAATTGTACATTTTAACTAATTTTTTTAAAATACTTTAATTAGTCAACTAGCTCTTATATTAAGGATAGGGGTAATATTTAATTTATAAATATATATAGTTAATTAGTGATGGATATATATGTGTGTGTGGATTGCAACAAAAAATGAAGGTGCCAAACGGAAGCGGGTTTCTACTGGGAGCGGTGCAGTTGGGGGTTTATGCAATGTACAGAGGTCCTAAATCTCCCACCAAATTCAACCAACCCGATGAGGAACAACACCATCCTCTCATCTCATCTTCATGAATCTTCAAATCACTGCCACTTCTTTTTTGGTCTGAGTTGATTGCTCAGGCTAGTGAACCAGTAAAATAGTCATCTGATTGGTCGGTAAAGAGGTAATTTGAATGAGTCGACCAAGTTGGATTTTTCATTTCCCCCCCCTTTGCTAAGTCTAAACAATGTCATTTTGCATTTAAAAGAACAGTAATTCATCATATTTGTGATTTAGTAATTAACTCTGTTGAATTATGTATGGTTTATACATCAATATTTGATTTATTTGTGGATGATACGTTATGTATTTAAATATTACTCTTTTCAAAATCATATAAAATTATTTTATATATTTTAATTATTTTCTATGATTTGTGGTCATACCAAAAAAAAAACCTATGTCCAACCTATTGCAATTTAATTTCAAGCTTAGCAGCATGGCTGGCCCGCCCATTGAAGTCGTTTGAAGCTAGCAGTGGGAATCAGGGCCGGTCCTGCAGGACTGGTAGGTTTAAAAGGGTTAACCTTATAAGGCCAAAATTTCAAAAATACCTAATTTGTTAAATCCGGTCTTTAAGCTAACGAGCTTAGGGCTGGCCCATGAGCTTTCGGCCTGTTTAACTCATAAATTTCTAATTCAAATTATAGAATCACAAGTTATATAAGTATAAAAATACCCTCTTATCAAAGATATATAGTTTAAAAATATCAATGCATATAATATAAATCAAATCATTATTAAAGTCCAAATTAACCCATTTTTTAAAATTTAATTGGACAAATTATTGTCTAAAACTAAATAAATCAAACCATTTTATGAAATTTAATTTTAAAATAATAATAACTAAATATTTGAAATATCATTAATAATGTAAAAAATTAATAATATTATAATTACACAAATTTTTGTAAAAAAACAAAAAAAAATTATAAAAGGGCCTGAACAGGCCGACCTTCTGCCCTACAGTCCTGTTTTCTATTTGAGGAAAAAAATTTCAAGCTCGGTTCTCATAATTTTCAGGCATAAACGGACCGGCCCGACAGGCTTGACTCGTTTTTCCGGTTCTATTTGAAGCATTGAATTTTATAAGGGATTGGGAATGCGGTTGGGATTGGAAGTAGGAATGTGATTTTAAAATTATGTTTGGTGTGAGGTAATATATGAAAGGACTGGTCTTATTAATTTTATTTTATAAATAGTTATTAATTGAAAAAAATACTATTTCATCCATCTTCATTCAACCCCAATACTTCAAACCCAGGTGCGATGATGAAATCAAAATGCACAACGTAGTTGTTGATGCCAATGGTACTCCAGTAAACACCCGCAGCTTGGTTGCCATTTGTGATTGTAATTAGCTCAAGATACGCAGAATTTGAAAATAAAAGGCAATTTTCGCCGATACGATTGGAAAATTTCGGAAAATTTGGGATCAGTGCTTTTGCTCGATGGTTACCAGTGGCCTTCTTTGATGAGCTTCACCCACCTTCGCCCTACGCTTTCTCAAGCCCAGTCCCCAGACAACATTGCCATAGTTAAAGGATTTTGTCTCTGGTTTTGCGTTTGTCTATTTTATTTTATTCGTCGGTGTTGCTTCCTCGCTGCTCCTCGTTCTCTCTCACCAATGACAGAGAGCATACTATTTGTAGTCCGGTACGGTAGCTGCAGCGAATATGTCGCCAGATCTTGTTCAGAGGTCGAAAACAAGGGATCGGAGCAAGGATGTTGTGGATCGGTGGAAGACGTCGTTGGCAGGATTGATTTTCCAATACGAGGGGAATGAGTGGTATTACAAAGTCGCAGGATTGCTAAAGTCTTCCTACCAATCATGATAAAATGAGCAATCCCAGCACCGTTGTAATGCCTTGTACCAAACGGGGGCCTAATTTCCTGATTTTTTTTGGAATTTTATTTCTCTGCAGGAGCCCAACTTATGCCCACTAACTTAATGCATAACTTATAGATCAGCCAATGGGCCTGTTTTTTCTGTTGCTTTCTCTATTTCTCAACCATGCAAGCTTCCCATACCATGGCTAGCTATCTTTATCCCCTTCCCTTTCCTCCTCCTCCTCTTCCGGCATTACCGTCGCTGCCGATATAACCTGCCGCCGGGACCGAAACCATGGCCTATCTATCATCGGGAAACTCACCTTTAAAGGCCCTGTTCCTCACTCTTCCTTGTGCATCTCTCAAGTTAGGCTTCAAAGACGCCGTCGTCGTATCCTCCGCGGACGTTGCTAAAGCCTTCCTCAAACCCACGGTCACACCTTCTCATACCAGAATCCATCTTCGGAAAGTGCACAGCCTACAATTACTCCGATATTCTTTGGCCCCCGCGGCCCTTGTTGGGAAAAAAAATAAATAGGGTTCAGTTATAATTTACTGAAAGATCAGGGTCCATATTAGTAAAATACCCTATTTTATGTTTATTTGAAAAATTATTAAGGAGGGAACAGTTTTTCTCCACACAAACGGTTGAGGATATATCTGAGTGGATTGCTCTTAACTGAAATATCAAGTAAACACAAACGCTCTCTCCTCTCTTTATCTGCATTTGCTGTCTATCAAAAATCTGATTCCATCTATGTGACCGAATTACGTGTGGGTACCAAGAGTAATCATCTGTATTCTAGATACGCCCAAAGTCCCTCAGCCCTCATTGGTGCCAAATCCGCAGGATGTGCATTACGCAACTATTATCTCAGAAAAGCTTAGCATCCAACAAGTATATCAAAAACGCAAGAGATGAACAGTATGTTGAAGGAACTTTTCATTTCTTTAGGCAAACCCGTTTTACCGTAAGATTACTTATATACTCCTCCGATCCTTAATATAGGACCTAATTGTAAAGTTGATTTTAGTCATAAATACAAGACTTATTTTTCATATCTATCAATTTTACCCAAATCATCCCTATTAATACTCTCTCAACCATAATCAAATATGAGAGGGAAGGAAGATATAATGAAAATAATTAAGGTATTTTAGGAAAAATATGTCATATTTATTATAGTTAACTAACTTACCTAAATTTTTTAATCTAATCAAATTAGTTAAATAGATCTTATATTAAGGACTGGAGGAGTATTATCTCAAGCTTTTATGAAGCCTATACTTTCATCTCATCTTTATCGCCTGATCATGATCACAGAGAAAACATCATGGTGGTTGCAAAGTAAATGCTAAGAAAATGATTGATTGTGTGAGATATTTTTGATGTGGCAAGGTGCAAGCTAAGCAAGCATATGGATATCACACATTCACAATGGCTAAGAGGTCCACTTTAATTTGTTTGCACAGATTGGCACTGGGATACATAAGATCTGTGGCCAAGAAGGAATCGTAATATGCATAATTGAAGGGTTAATGACGATATCCATATATAAGTGGAGGAGATATAGTGGGTCGTTTTTGCTTCGTTGTTATGCACAATTAATTCCACCACGTGCTTGAAAACCTTTTGTCCACTTCTTCATGTCATATATACATTCGCCCCTACTTTTTCATAATTCCTATATTGTGCGGGGCTTTTCACATTATATGACTTATTTACCTGTTTTTGTCATTATTAAGGAGGGAACAGTTTTTCACCGTGGAGAAAAACTGACACAAACGGTTGAGGATATATCTGAGTGGATTGCTCTTAACTGAAATATCAAGTAAACACAAACATCCAGTGACTAATCTCTTCACTGGCTTGTAGGCACTTCGATGGGTGGGATAGCTGGCCTGGGATTTTAAAGCTTTTTCATGCCCAAAGTGAGAATTGAACCCTCGACATTTGGTTAAGGGAAAATGAGCCCCCACCGCTCAACCACACCCCCTAGTTCTCTTTATCTGCATTTGCTATATATCAAAAATCTGATTCCATCTATGTGACCGAATTACGTGTGGGTACCAAGAGTGATCATCTGTATTCTAGATACGCCCAAAATCCCTCAGCCCTCGTTGGCGGCAAACCCGCAGGATGTGCATTGCGCAACTATTATCTCAGAAAAGCTTAGCATCCCGCAAGTATATCAAAAACGGAAGAGATGAACAGTATGTTGAAGGAACTTTTCATTTCTTTAGGCAAACCCGTTTTACCGTAAGATTACTATATACTTTTTCAGTCTTTAATATAGGACCTAATTATATAGTTGATTTTGATT